TTTTAAAACTAATTCTAATCGTTCTCATTATGACAGTGTCTCAACACTACGAATACTAGGTGTGTTAGTAAGACAGTTAAAGACAGAAAAAAAAAAACTTTCTGATGCTTCAAACCTAGGATTTCTATGACGGTGATTATCAAGACCTAAAGCCGGATTCGAACATAGGACTTCACAATGCAGCCCCATTGTGGGTCCCGCCGTCACCGTTAATCCATATCAGTAAAGTCCAATTTTTTTTTTGACATAATTTTTATAAATTATATTTTTCACAATATTTTCATGTGATATCAGAAACTACCCCTGCATCACCAGGGAGTCTAATCTTAACGATATTAGGAGTGTTGAGTGGCTCACGGTGAGCGGTTCGGACCGATCTGGGCCGGACTTTTTAAGAACCAGTTCAGAATTAAACCAGTCTGAGTCTCCCATGATATGAATTGTATGTCGTTTTTGACATATTGAATGGATTTAATATGATGAATAACGCTTTTCAAATAGCCATAATTACTTTCGCTTTAAAAATTCACTAATTGTTACTAGTATAATTAGGTCGGTAAGTTTAAATCAAATTAGTAAAAGCTTTATTGTTTTTTCTTTTTTACGCCATATCGATAGAGTTTCAAATTATATTATTAAACTGCTAGGACTTAGGTAGCGCACCCACAAATTGCTTCCGTTATTTTTACTGAGAATAATATGTCGTAGTTTGGGTTAGGACGATAAAGTTTTTATTAGTAAAATTTCACAAGTAACATTTTTAATTAGACCGCAGAAGGTGGTTTCTTAATTAAACCTTCGAGTTATTTCTGTTTTATTTTGTAAAAAAAGGGTTCGCTTCTTTAACTAGACTATTTAGGAACTGGCTGAGACTGTACCAGACGAACCACTTAACATCCCTAAACCGTAACGGTATAAGTGACTTTTGATACGTAAAATATGTAATCATTGAATGCCTGGTTGTCCTATTGCAATCGATTGTACGTAATTATATATGATTTCTCTGCAACTATATGATTAAACTAAAAAAATTTATTTATTTATTTAAATTTATTAATCTATAAAATTCAAGTAAAAAAAAAAAATTCATCGAATTTGATCATGTGGTTGCTGAGATATCTTCGCTCAAAGCTTTTTTTTTAAAAAAATGTCAAAATATTTATCGAGAAACTGCGAGCAAGATATTTCAGCAACCACCTGATCAAATTCGAAGAATTTTTTTATTTGAATTCTATAGATTCATAAAATTCAAATAAAAAAAATTTTATCGAATTTGATCAGGTGATATCTGAGATATCTTCACTCAAGGTTTTTAAAATATCAAAACGTCAAAACAGAAGCTGCGCCAAATTTTCCTTAAACTTTGAGAAAGCTGGGAGCGTCTCCGGACACTTACCATTTCACGTGAAACTTGCATAGATATAATTGTGATATACATACATGTCATATATCTAATATTTAAAAGAATATCATATAACTTGGTAAATACAAATTCACGTGAAGTGGTAAGTGTCCGGAGATGCTCCCGAGAAAGCTATTTCAGCAACCACCTAATCAAATTTGATGAATTTTTTTTATTTGTATTCTATAATTCGAATAAAAAAATTTCATCGAAATTGATTAGGTGTTTGTTTCTGAGATATCTTCGCTCAAAGTTTTTAAAATACCAAACCGTCAAAAAACAGAAGCTGCGCCAAGTTTTTCTTAAAACTTTGAGCGAAGATATCTCAGCAACCATCAGATCAAATTCAATGATTTTTTTTTTTTTTTTGAATTCTACAGATCCTTATAATTCAAATAAAAAAATTTCATCAAATTTGATTAGGTAGTTGTTGATATATCTTTGCTCAAATTTTTTAAAAATAGTAAAACGTCTATTAAATAGAAGCGGCGCCAAATTTTTCTTAAAACGTTGAGCGAAGCGAAGACATCTCAGCAGCCACCTGATCAAACTCGATGAAATTTTATTTATTTGAATCTATGGATCTATAGAATTCAAATAAAAAAAATCATTGAATTTGATTTGATGGTTGCTGACTAAAGTTCCTGGGGGTAAAGCACGGGCTTCTCTGAACCCCCGCCTTAGTTGAAGCCTAGCTTTAGAACCTTATTTAGAATGCATACCTATTGCTTTCACAATTCGTGAAATCACTCAGTTACAGGCAAATCCAAATCAAACCTTTGATTCATCACAATTTTGATATTGTGATAAAAATTCATGGCACCTACCCTGATTTTGAAAAGTTCGGTCTAAATATATTAAAGGTTTACTTTGTAAAAATAAACGAGAACTCATTGAGTTATTATTTTTTTCGCCTTGTATGCTAGACGAATTTGGGGGGGTTTTTTTTTTAAAAAAAAAACTTTGTGCGTAGATATTTCAGCAACCACCTAATCAAATTCGATAAAAATTTTTCAAGTAGTTGCTGAAATATCTTTGCTCAAAGTTTTAAGAAAATTTTGGCGCAGCTTCTATTTATGATAAACAATGCAGCGTTGATTTTTTTAAAAAAATTGAGCAAAGATATCTCACCAACCACCTGATTAAATTCAATGAATTTTTTTTTATTTGAACCCTATAGATTCATAAAATGCAAATAAAAAAAATTCATCGAATTTGATTAGATGGTTGCTGAGAAATCGCAACAATCACGTACAAATCGGGCAATCGGGCATGCAGTGACCTACAGATTTTATCATTTTGCAAATAGCGATAAAATAAAAAATTTGACCAGTAGTTTGAAAACACTAATTGTAACCATTTTTTCCGATTTTAAGATTTTCGGCGCTTTTTTAAGTTTTCTCAGTAACTACCATGTTAAACTCAATAATTTTTTTATTTTAATTTATATGCTTATAGAATTAAATAAAAGAATTTATTAATATTAATCAGATAATTGTTGAGAAACCATGCTAGAAGATAGAAAAAATAGCAAGGATTGTCACATGTATTTTACATAGTAATCGAGAATCTGCTGTGACAATTTTGTTGCGCCCTCGATTGTTGGTACGCTAAAACCTTTTTAATTAAAACCTGCGTCAAATTACAATCAGTTAACTTTACCGTAATTTTACCCTAACCTAATCTAACTTAGGCCGATTGTAATCTGACACAAGTTTTAATCTGACGCACGACATTATTGCGCTTTGCAAAAATGTGTGACCTCTGCAGATCATGATGTCATGTAAAATGACGAGAAATCAGTGGATTTTTCGATTTTTGAAGAATTTTAAGGATTTCGGATAAAATATAGACGTTATTGATTAAAAATTATGATCAATAGGGAATTAAAATCTCAGAAATTTTTCCGCCATCATCACCGTGAAATCACAGGGTCACACTTTTTTGCAAAGCGCAATAATATTAGTATCCAAATCCTGTATAACCAAATCACATGACTAGCCCAGAGACTGGCTAGTATTCGTAGAAATTTTTTTAAAATATTAACGTTTTTTTTTTGTATACAAGATACAAATTGAAATCCTCAATTAAAGTAATGAGTTTGATCAATTAAATATTAAAATATATTCGATAAATAATTCTTATGCAAATCTAATTTTGTTTAAAATAGATGACGTATTTGTTTTTGTTTGTTTTCCGATAGTTTTGAATTGATGACTTGGGGAAGTTTGAATTATTCAATTCTTGGTGACCACATCTATCTGGCACAGAGGTATGACGAATCATTCATTTACGTACGTAACTAAATAAGCATTTACTAATTAATTGTATTAGTTAATTATAATTCATCACATAGAATGATTCCTCACTCCCCTTGTGCCAAATGGAAGAGGTCGCGAAGAAATTTTACTTATTTCGTCAAATGGGTGTCTTTAAATACTCCTATTTCATTTTCTGATTTCAAATTTTTGATAAACAAATAAGATTTTTTAAATTCTCATTTATTTCAAATACATTATTATTTTTTTTTAATTCTGAAACCCTTAACACGTAGAATTAAAATCAAAAGGATTTTAATCAGAATTTTTAAAAAATTAATAATTTACTAAATCATTAATACATGATAATCATCATTTCCAAGTTTTATTGTTACTAATTCGGTTATAATTTATCAATTAATCGTTAAAGTTAATTTTAAATACATATACTCATATCGTTTAGAAAATACGTATAAACATTACATATTGTTGGGAATCGTGATGCTGAAATTTGAATTTATTTTAATATGAAATTTTCTATATAGTTGGATTAGGGTTTATAATTACTGAATTAAAAAGTATAGGTGGGTTTTAAATAGAACCTCTAAATTTCAGCAACATCCCCGACACGTTGTTACTTATTACCATATAAATGCAAAACGTGTGCGTTATTTCGAATTAAGAGTTAATGTTTTGAATCCAACATATCATTTAACACAAATAACTTTTAAGGGTCCGATTTTCAAAATAACGCTCACAAGCGTTATTTCCCGTTCATACGATACGTAATTAAACTTGTCCAATTCTATTTTGCAATGATAATTATGCTGATATTGCTTAATATCAATCCAACTTTGATCAAAATTTTGTCTGTAAAAAATATAAAAAACATTATGAGAAATCAATGTGAAAATAGAAGTCTGATTACTATTTTTTTCGGAATAGCGTTACGTAAATCAGCAGAAATTTTTTCAAAAGCTTAAGATCGTACACTATTGACACAGATCAACTAACCGTCCATTTGTTGTTCCATCCATTAGATGAACATTCTTCATTTCAACATTTCACTATAATATTCGTAGAATGATTATCTTTATCACATACATCACTCTATTTTGATAACAGTAATTGACATGAGCTTTCAAAAGCACTACCCGTATTAACGAAATTTGAAAATAACTGAATTTCTAATACTCATCTTTTTATTATCACAGTTCTTAAGTTTATGATTAACCTTAACTTTCATATCTTCAGATGTCTTATTATTTCGATTAAATCTCTTGAATTGATTATTGCAGGGTAAGTTATAATTCAATTTGTTTCGTTCGTATTGCTTCATCACTAACTGGTCTAACTTCATCAATCGTTTCAATCATCAATGCTAACCTTTTGCCTACCATTTATGAAAATATGTTTCATTCGCAAGTGATGCTTGCTATCGTTTTTTCTACTTATTTCAAATTAATACGATGTTTTCTATGTTACACTTAATTGTTGACATTAAGAATACAAATAATACGTAGAATCTATAAATCCACAAATCCAACTCACCTAACAAAAGACTTAAACTTCTGATTCCATGAGTAGTAAAGGTCATTTTCACTCGTTTGGCTCATCGCATAGACTAGAATATCGTTTACCTCTTTCTACCTAGCACACAACGATACTACAAACAGTGTGCGAAATTCAGTTCTAATAAAAT